AATCAACCCCTATCCCTTTTCCCCAAAACGCAACCAACAATAGCTAATGTAAATGTTTGTCTGCTATTTGAATTTTAATTACTTTTCGCCGCGATGGCAGAAACTATTTGATATCCCCACCGAGCAGGGCCAAACCGAACTCACCTAAACGTAAACTTTTTAATGGAATTCCTGGCCAGAAGACCAGAAAAACTTTCCACTCCCCATTTGCCGGGATTCGAAAGCCAATCGGTGGACCAGGCCCAAAGCCAAAGAGCCAAGATCGTAATGCGCCTTAATTGAAATAAGTCCCCGACCAATTGTTAGACGCGCAGCCACTTAAGCTCGTCCAAGCCAAGGTGGAACTTACAGAGAGAAAAACCAAATTCATTAAGCTTCGGCTTTTTTTCCAGAAAATAGGTGATGGTGGAAAAACTTAAGCAATAAAGTGTATAATCAATTGAATGTTAATAAAGCCAAATAGCCAAATCGTATTAAATATTCGAACTTAAAGAATAAATATGAAAACACAAACAAGGATATTGTTAAATGTATTTATAGGCTAAAGTAGCGTTTGTCAAATAATTAAATAATAATTAATCAAATTTGTTTTAACTTTAATATTGACAATATTAAAATCATATATAAGAAGCTGTTCATCTGAAGCTCCCCGAGTTTCATGCCTCAGTGTACTTCTTTCCACACTCCCAATTGCACAATCAAGAATGAGCCCCAGTCTCCTTTTGGGTGGCATAAATTTTGGAATTGTTAGCCTGGGCCACTTGAACGGAAACGACTAATTCCCGTTGCCCAGATTGAGATGGAGCTGTCCCACTCCCGATTCACTTTACCCACTCCATCTTGGCCAGCTCCTTTGAGAGTTGAGACTGGTCTGGTGTCTGGCATCTGTTCCACAGACAGAGCAGAAACAGAATCGCGCTTCCTTGGGCGGCACAAAAATATTCGGCTGGCTCCCATGACTTGGAAATGCTTTTTATCGGATTGAGACGTGCGGTGTTCCTTCTACTTCGACTTCTGTGGTGAAACTTCGCAGGAAATTCAATCAAAGGTACAAGTTAATCCCGCGTGAGTTCATAAAGTTCACAAGCCAATTTATTTGCCAGGCACCATAAGTTTCTGGGGCAGCCTAAAGTTGTACCTTTAAAAAAGTCAACAAAGGTAAGGAAAAGTTTTTTCTTTTCAATCTTTCACAAGCTTTTAAACTGCTGTTACGTACTTACACTTTTTTGCAGTAGCTATATATTTCCTAACAAAGCATCAATAAATACTTAACCATTATGGACACTTTAAAAATAGTTAAATACTTAAATTAAATTAAATATGTAGTTGGTTCATTAACTTATTTAAATTATTTTTTTGAAGTCCTTGAAATGCTTTTGGCATGGTTTTAAACTGTTTACTTAACTTAATGAAATTTTTTTTTTTAATTTTTTTTAACCGTGTGTTTTTAAAGACGCACTTAGCTCGATTCAAGCATATTGAACTGATTTATCGAAAAGCACGCAAAGCAGCCAAACGATTTGTTTTCCCTGTGATCTCGCTCAAAGCAACGCAGCATAAAATCACGCGCCTTTGAGCCTTTTGAAGTCTCGAGAAAACTGAGCGAGTTTTTGGCTGCTGGAAGACAAAAGAGTTAAGGGGCTAAAAGGCGGATTCTGGAGTGTGCTTCGATTGTGTCTTCAATTAGTGTTAAGAGCTTGTCAAACAAGCAGCCAGATTAAAGCAAAGTCGATTTCCCGGGCCCCAAGCTTAGCCACCATCCTTCGATTTTCCTCTGCTAACATGCAACTAACCATGGCGAACACGTTTCGATTGTGGGCGTATCGAAAAGGATGGGGAAGAAATAAAGGACTCGACTCGAATCGATGGCCAATAGCCGTGAGCTCATTTCACCTCCGAAAAGGCAACAAACTGGCAGACGAGGGCAAACATCTAATTGCCTGGACAGAGCAAATAGAACAAGGCACTGGGGACTACTTAGGACTCGGGACAACGATAAAGAGGTGAAGGATTAATAGCAAATAAATTGATGTTGAAATAGCGATTACTAAAAAGGACGTAGGATAAACATTTCATTTTCTTGCTCACCCATAAATCACAGGAAAAATTTACCTATGAAAGGAAGATGTCATCGTGACAGGAGCGGGGAAAAAAAGACTGGACAAAACAAATTCCCATTCAGGCATTATCATATGAATTTCTTTTCTTCGGTCACATCCCAAAAAAAATAAACAACAAAAGCCAAATGTTGCATAAATTCGGCTGCCACTTGATGTGTGTATTACAACAAAAGGTGAGCCAGTTCGAAAATGAGGGATGGGATTCCGAGGGTGGACCAATATTTTGGGGGTGACCAATGCCGGACAATGCAAATCTTGACCAAAGAGCAGAAAGCGAAGCGAAAGGCATTGCTTGCATAAATTTTCATAAATTTCAGGCTTTGATTTATTTCATATATGGATTTTTTCTGAGGGAGGGCTTGGCCATTGATCTTTTTGTGAGTTTCTTTTTTTGAAGAACCTTTAATCAAAGTTTCCCGAAAATTTGCTCAATTTTCACATTCATTTCTGCAGTGAGAGTGTCTAAGCTTAAACAAAAAGAAGAAATTGTTTGCATGTCCAACAGAAACAATCAAATCGCAATTTACTGGCTCATGGAAAACCGATTTATCGTTGGCGAAGTTAGTCGGTCATAAAACATCCATTAACTTCATGTCAATGGTGCATACGCACACCATATACCCAGCCCCGTATATATTCCCTCGATTCCGATTCGTATTCCGATTCCGATTCCTGCCGGACAAGCGTTCATTTGTGGTATTTTTCACAGGGAGGGGCTTTTCACTGTGGGGCGTTGCAGTGTTGTTGCTCGGTGCAAATTACTGGGACTCAGAATCGGTCGAAACTCAACTGTGGCCTCTGCAATATGTCAGCGTTTTATTGTGGGGAAAGTTTCAAGGGGTAGCAAAGGTTGTTTCGGCATCAGCCGATTATTCGTAGTATAGAATATGGTAGGCAAAACCGTATTGATTTTTAGTAAGCTGAAGAGGATAAGATCATAACTTTTCTATTAAAAACCTATTTAAAGAACAACTATGGCTTAGATCTATTAGTTCTCTGATTCTTTAAAATAAAATTTATTTTTAGGATAGCAGGAAAAGGGATACATCCTTAAAATTAAATTAATTAAAAACAGAATAAAGTTAAGCTTTTGAATAGCATATTTTTGAACCTTAACTTAACTTCAAAAAATTGTCTTCAGCCAGCTTTTCCACTCCCCTAACCCATTTTTTACAGGGTATTTTAAATACGTCTCTCAAACTTTAAGCACAATTTTCCCGCTCCATCAGGCTCTTGCCCAGTGACACGTGATAAGAAATGTCATTCGGTTAGACTGTTAGGGAGGTGTATTGTGTAATTGAGGGCCGAAGGGCCAAAAAACTGTTGAAAAAACAATTGCACACGTAGGCAAAAGCAATTTGCCAATTGCCGCAAAGGAAATGTCGCCAAATGTATCTTACACTTTTTTTTTGGGAAACGGAATTTCTGAGTTTTGTCTCCCGTTCGCTGGAAAAGTCCACAATCATTTCACCCAAAGAGAGTTAATTGCTGGCGTCTGAAGTGAATTCTTCTCGCTGTCATTTGCAATGCCAGGAATACCAACTCCCGTTCAAAAGGGGGCGGAAAACTGGAGGGGGAGTGACACTTAATGTGAGCCGCCTTGGCAGAAACTTTTGAATTACCTCAGTTACCCAGGAGTGTTGAAATGGGTGTAGGGATGGGGAATCGGAATGGGAATTGCTACGGTTACAACATTCAAGCCTCGACGCCGTTTTCATTTATGCCGTTTCAAGTTGCTCAGCCAAGCATCCGAGTTTTCCGGGTGGTGGGTAGGAAAATGTTTGTCTTTCATTTGGCTCATCCTCCGAATTTCCTTGGCTGGTGGTGTCTGCTTAACAAATTCTCTACGATTATTACCTGCTGTTAAAAATTTCATAATCTCGCAGATAATAATTTAATGCGTCGTTTTAGTGGCCAACATTAAAAAGTTTGCCAAGAACATTTTCCGAGATAGGGAAAATTGAAAGGGAGTGGATTGGGGCAGAGGGTGGCGATGAGGTGGCGAAAGAACCTTGTCTGGCATTTAATATTGTTGTAAGCAGGTGATTCCGTTTCCCCTTTGCGGTCTCGGGATGACAAGCAGCTGGCCCTGGACTGGCTCCAATTTAAACTCCAATTCATAAGCCAACCGATGCAGATATAATATAAGCTTAACTAAATACTTTACCAAAAAGTCTCTCTTTTAACTTTAATAAGATAAACTGAAATCTACAACATAAATAAGAATAGTTCCAAGCCGAAGTTTATATACCCTTGCAGTTGTTACAATCTACAACATTTCGAATTCTATGCCTATATTACTAAAAACAATGAAGCTATGTCGATCTTCTGCTGCATTTCGATATCGTTTCTATGGCAGCCTATGATATTGTTGTCCGATTTTAATTTAATTAAAACCGTAATTCCTTAATATTTAAATATTACAAAATCCCAAAGAACAAACAAAAAAACTGAAATTATAATACCCTCTGCAAGGGTATAAAAACCGAAAAAGTTTCCAATTTGCATGCTGCAAATACAATGTTGCCGTGTAAATTACATTTCTACTTAAGTGCTCTCAGTTTTAAAGTTTGATGCTCGCTGCTATTGTAACCAAATATACAAAACTTACGCTTATTGGTACCTGTTGCATACGGAAAAAAAACATTTTTAGTTAATCTTCTGTACTCAAATCAGACCATCCAGGTAAGTATTTATTATTATGTTATCGCCTTTTTGATATTGTCATTTGAAAAAATTTTAGAGAACAAAATTGCAAGTTTAATGAGGATAAGTGGATTGGTAAGTTGAGGTTTTTTAATGTATTAGTTCATCAAATATGTTACAGCAGTATATGATATACATACGAATGTACATTTTATGGGCAAGTTCGATTCACTCCTAGGGCCGCATTTTTTCTTTGATCCAGTTTTCATATTCTGCAACGTTCGTGTAAAGAGCAGGCCAATTACTGCCGCATTGCTGCCTACCAGAGGACACAATGCCCTGTAGGATCCAAGAACCTTTATCATATGACATCAGTGGTCCACCGGAATCCCCTCCGCAGCTATTAACACCGCTTCGACCGCCGGCGCAAATTTTACTGCCATTCACGTGCATATATATAGATTCGTACTTTTTCATACAGGTATCGTTTTCGACAAAGGGAACACGCACTTTCTGCAGCGTGGGACTTCCCGTGCCACCATTCACAGTGTGACCCCAGCCTGCCACAGTTAAGAACTGACCGTCATTCAATATTCTGCCGCCTACAGTCGAGGGCAGACATATTGGCCGAATTGTTGGTGAATACTTAACCGCACTTTGCAAGCGGATTAAACCAATATCGTGCCAGTACTCTGAATCGGGGACATAATTTTTGTGAACATGGATTTCTTCAATGGCCACTGATTTAACTCCCCGTGAGCATATTCCTCCCAGGCAGTCCTCAGAGGTACGAGTGTCATGCTCGCCCAATCGAACAGATACCCTGAAAAATATTATTGACAGTGATATAAAAAATATTTGCAATGAGCCTCTTACAAAGTTCCAAACGGTGATGCATAGCTTCCAACCAGACAGTGAGCTGCTGTTACGACGTATCGATGATTGAGCAGCGATCCCCCGCATGGCGTTTCCGGCTCAGATCCATAGAAGCGTCTATACTCCAGCAAAACCATCCATGCAAATTCACTGATAGCGGTTTCATTGCCACCAAGGATTTTAATATGCGCGATATCACCTCCACAAGTTAATGGCTGGGGAAGTAAATAAGTGCTATCAAAATCGGTATCACCTGCGCAGCAGACAAAGTTGCCATCTCCACATCTGGATTCTTGAATGAATCGCGACTCCGAAAAGGTCCTTTTGCTCTTCGTATTCACGGACTTCAGTCCAAAGCAGTTATTGATATTCACACAATATCCTTTCCGTTCATTGGGATTTTGGCAGAGTAGATCTTCAAAAGAGATAAAAATAAATCCCAAAGATTTGATTTGTATTGAAGGTATTTAATGTTAAAATATAAAATAATAAAACCATAGCAATTCGATTTATTCAGAACAACTCATTAAGTTAAAGTAATGTAGGAAAAGGAACCTTTAAGTCACAGTATTGCTTCACATACGACAAAAATAAATGATTTGCTAATTTGTGTACCCTTTTTCACGGAGTATGTTTTCATTCCTTCTTTTTTTGTTTTAAAGGATGTTTTTTCAAAGCACTTACCATCGGCACGGAGCTCGCTGACAACCAGTATGCACATAAAAACCGTAACGAACACTTTCATTTTCGCTGGGACTGTCCTCTATCGCACTCGCCTTCGATCTGTTCAGAGCTCTCTAACTTCCGACTGTTAAATATATCAGTGTATGAGCTTTTATATACTATAATAACGTATAATCTTAAAGCTTTGGGAATTTTCAAAATTTCAATGGGCTTGGACTCAACGGAATAGAACTCACAGCCTAGCGCAGAGGTTAGACCATCAAAGGTTATGTTTGATAACGCTAGATTTCAAAATGAAATGGACCACATAAACCGCAACAATACAGACTCTCTGATAAAGAAATTTATTTATAAAATTGGGTTTGGACCAATAGCTTTTATGTTTTTTTAATTTTTAATTTCAAGTACAGATTTCAGTATTTGAGGACTAATTTTACTACTTTCTAATGTATGATTTAGGGATTGGTGTTAAAAAAATTAAATACAACTTGGTAAACTTTAAGGTTGCCACTTGCTAACTAAACACGAAAACAAGCAAACTTCGGCAAGCCGAAGTTTATATACCCTTGCAGCTTTTCCAAATCGACTACATTTCGATTTCTATGACTATATTACTAAAAACAATGAAGCTATGTCGATTTTGCGCTTCGTTTCTATGGCAGCTATATGATATTGTTAAATAAAACCGTAATTCCATAATTTTTAAATATTACTAAATCCCAATGAACAAAACAACAAAGATTTTCCGATTGTTCCATGGGAACTATTAATATATTCACCAGATCTGGCTCATTCCGACATATACTCTACCTGCAATACAAAAACAACTTTTGAGAAGTTTCAACCAGATGGCTTTAAAACTGATGGACTAGTTCGACTCGCCTGGTGATGCTGATCAAGAATATATATACTTTATAGGGTCGGAAATGTCTCCTTCACTGCGTTGCAAACTTTTGACTGAAATTATAATACCCTCTGCAGAGTATAATAAGAAATATATTATCCAAAATGAAACATTTACTGAAAGGTTGTTAACACACTTAAACAACTTTTCTGAATAGAATAGTTGATCTCTTTAATTGCTAAATTACTTTAATCCATTTCGTATGCGAGTGAAAATAACCCTTTTAAAAATCTATTAAGCTTGATCCAACGAAGAGTAACTGAACTTGCCAAAGTTCCTCTATCCCTTCTGTTCCCAAATGTGCGAGCATTAGCACGGCACATCGAAGTTTATCTATGACCAGGAGGACCACCACCTCCATTCCACCAATCCTTTCTGCGTGGAAGGTATGTGTCCTTGCGCCTGTCTGCCCAGCATGTGAACTTTTCAAAGTTATGCGCATTTCTGCTGACCATTGGCATTTTGCAGCTTTTGTTTTTGCCCGAGGACAGGAGCTCCTGTGGATGGAAAGTTGGGGGAGTGTACCGTCGTCCCTGGACAAAGACAAAGGTCGAGGGCGGCAGATGTTGCCCAATCGTTTTGTCTGCTGGCGCATCGCAGCATCGGTTTTGGGATTAATGCCTCGCCTGCTCCTTTTTTTCCCAGGTCCTGGCCAGTTTATTGAAAAGGTGACGTTGCCGCTGCTGCATCAGGAGCAAAAGTTTTGCCAAAGTTTGCCTGAGTTTGGCTCCTTTTTTTCGCCCTGTTCCTCTGCCGGCTGCTGCTGTCGATAATATCGATGCGGAACATATGTGAACATGTCGTTTGACACATTTGTCAGTTGGCTTAAAGTTTCCGCAGGAGAAGGGCATCATGGAGGGGAAACCAATCGAGTTAAGCTGCAATTGGTTGGGTATATTCGATGTGGGTAAATGTGCGGCATTCAAAGACAATTATTGGAGTGATTTTCAGCGGAGCAAACAGGTGTAAATGGTAATGATATTTTTGGCATTTGATTTAAAACAAGAGAGAACGCTATAGTCGGTTGCCCCGACTTTCAGATACCCGTTACTCAGGTAAAGGGAGTGCGAGGGAGATGGAGATAGAAACTTTGATCACGCATAACTTTTTAACGAATGGTCCGATTTGAAAAATTTCTTCTACATTTCGATAGGTATTAATAAACACAATAAAACTGCGTTTTTACTTTTCCGAAATATTTAAATTTTTAAAATCGTATATAAGCGATTGTGGGCGTTTAAATGGGCGTGGCACCTTTTTGAAACAAACTTGCGCTGCGTAGGAACTCCTAGAATCTGCATGCAAAATGCCAATCTTCTAGCTTTTATACTTTCCGAGATCTCAGCGTTCATACGGACAGACAGACGGACAGACGGACAGACGGACAGACGGACAGACAGACGGACAGACGGACATGGCTATATCGACTCGGCTAGTGACCCTGATCAAGAATATATACACTTTATAGGGTCGGAAACGCTTCCTTCTAGCTGTTACATACTTTTGCACGAATACAATATACCCTTTTACTCTACGAGTAACGGGTATAAATATGGTTATTTATAAGTAACCTTTTGCAGCTTGATGGTTATAAAATTAAATTAAATTAAAATTGAATTAATAAAATTTGGAGTTCAAATACTTCAAAATCTGCATTTAAAATGTTGAACATATTTTCTTTTATTGATTTTATTTTTGATAGAAGCTTAAAGACTTGCTTAAATCCCAACTATTATCGACTAAGTGCACACAACCAGGACTAAATTTGCATCTAAGCAGGCACTCACACTGGCAAGTCAAGGCCGAATTTTAAGCCACTTCACAGCAAATTAGATGCTTTCAACAGCTTCTCACCAACATACACAGATGAGAAGATATAGAAGGGGACTGTGTCTGTGATCACATCTGTTGACAAATGACTGGCAATGTTCAACGGTGTTTGGCAGCACTTGTGCGCCTCATTATGTGGCATTTTGGGCTAACCGCTTTAATTAGCCCAGCCCACGGACACAGATACTCCACACGCAACACACAGGAGAGCAGAGTGCAGGATGCAGGATGCATTGTCCTGTTCGCCGGCTGACCAGCAAAGCCACTTGAGAGCCACCAGGCAGTGGAAATCCTGTTGAGAGCTCGAGTCACAAATCAACCAAAATATATTATGCACCGCAAATTGTGCGGTAATTACTCGCACACACACACACACTCGCAGGTTGGGAAGGGAAGGGAAGGGGGTGAAGCGGAGACAGTTGCTAATTTATGGCGCACAGTGTAGCATACTTTCCAGCACCTGCACAAGACATCGACTCCGCGGCGACAATGGCGGCGTTAATTTGCCTGCTAATGAGCCACAAAAACAAGCACAGCCAACTGGCTTAATTATGTTAATTTCCCCCTGCTGCCACCCACTACAACGAAACACACAGCGAAAAAATATGAACTGTATTGTCAACATGATAACATTACACTATTTTATTAGGCAAACTAAAATTTTAATTTATTTACATTAGTCTCATTAAATAAATATTGCTTTTAGAATGTCAAATTGATCTTATAAATATAAATCGTTTTTTATATAACATACTTAAATAACTGAAACCATAAATGATTAATTTAAAAAAAATTAAGGGGTCAAGTTAAAAATAATTTTTGAATACACAAAATGATATTAAGTCTTAAAATTTACATAATTAAATTAAATTGAATTTAATAAAATGTATCTATATTTTAAGTGTGTATTATGGGTGGACTTAAATATTATGAAAAAATATTATTATTTTTTCCATATGCACTGTCAACGCTGCGTATACGTGATGTGGCTGCCATCAAGTTTTAGTGTCTGCACTTTTCGGGGTTTCCTCGCTCTCAATCGCCAATTCGTATCAAACGCAATTTTTGCACTGGCGCCAGTCGTATTCAGGAATTTTCTTTAAAGAACAAATTATTTTGCGGGGGTTGGAAAATGGGGAAGGAGGACTGTGTCAGTTTGTCGCTTCCTTTGCTTTCATATTTTGAATACAAATTGCTTTATTTGCGCTGCTGCGCCAATTTCAAAGTAGAGCTCCCTCTCCTCATATTTTTTTTAGCCACCAACCTCTCTTTGACTTGTCAGATTTGCTCTGCTGGAGTTATAAACAAGTGAGTTTGCCATTTCATACCTTTTTCCGCTCTCCACTACTTTTCAGACTGGTTTTGAATTTTATAACATGCTAAAGGGAGGTTTTTTTTTTTTTAATATAGGTGTATTTTGAGTTGTGGGGACACAGCAAGAGCAATTGCTCCCCAGCGAGCGTTTGTACCGGCAAAGTTATTTGCATGCCATTGTCCCTGGTTTACATTCTGTTTTTTTCCAGCTCCCTCCCATAATAATTGAATAATATTTGATACTTGACAAATCGTCTGATTCTAATTTGACATGCTGGCTGACAGGCGAGTGAGTGAATCAAGGTAATGGGACACAACATTGTTGGCAAATGAATCTTATTGCTCGCAGAGTTTTATGCGCGGATTAATGTCATCCGACTTTACGAGTCCGCATCTCTAATGCAACCCCTCCGTTTCCCCTCCTCTAAGACAACTTTGTTGTGTTTGGGCCATAAAAAGAGATTGGGAAAAAGCGACGGCAAACCGCAACCAAATTAGCCCTGGTTTATGGCTTCACATGCAGATCCGCTGCCGTGGAAGTTATGCATTGGAAATTTGCTTTTAATTAGCTGCTGACAAATTCGAGGACCACATTTCGCATTTGGAAAATAGGTTAGCTTCAACTTTGTAGCTCTGAAACATCCGCTGCAACCTAAATTTAGCCATTAGTGTAGATATGGGACTGCTCATATATCTGGAGGAAATTGGAAAGATTTGAAATTCTGAAGACTCTATGAAATTTGTAGATTAGAAACAAGTCATTGAGGGGCCCACAAATCTACCAAAAATACCAATTAAATATTGACTACATTTATACTCTAATTAAGTCTGTACTTTTTGTTGTCTTTTATGGTTGCTCTTGGAATTTTGCTTATATGTCTAATATAAATGAAACAATCAAATAATTTTCCACTCTCAATTCAGGTTGCATCCCATAAACTTCCAAGAATCGTGAAAAAGCAAAAATACTTGAACCCATATTGATAAACACTTTTATATATTTTTTGGGTGCG